ATCGAGTTCCAGATACTCATAAAAACTGTCAGCTTTTCATTCACATCGGTGGCGGTGTAAAAGGGTCTCCAGTCGGCGCACATAATATCGGCACAGAAAGCCTGCCAGTCAACATCACGCCACGCGCGCACACTGATGGTAACGGGAGGGCGCCGCAGTCGAGGAGCTGTAGGTTTGATAATGATGGGAAGATGATCAGCGATAATGTCGGGGAGGACGGAGACCTGCACGTCTGGGGAGGAGACATTGGTGATGGCCAAATCAAGAAGCGATGGTACTGGGTGCGGGTGTGTGGGTTCAGTTACAAGTTGAAACAGATTCAAATCACGCAAAAGCATGTTAAAATTGACAGCGTCAGCGGTATCCTCGGCTAAAAGGTTTACGTTAAAATCACCAAGAACATACAAAGGTTTCCCCACTGCCAGCGCCATCTCGAACTGTGCGCGCACAGCATCGCGCAGTCGGGCTGTCAGCGCTCCCGGCGGCCGGTAGATGGTGCCGACAATCACCGTTGACCTCCCCATTATAAGTCAACGGGAGAATATTAAAATGCGCCTCTTTTGGACGAAACACATTATAAACACTCCCAAACACTGAATTACAAGTGTTTTAGACACACTGAACATGAAAATGGTGTCCGTGACCCCTATTTATGCCCCTGAGGTCATCTCAGGTCACGAATGGTGTCTAACAGTTTTTCGCAAATAACTTTTGATAGAGGCATGCTAGAGCGGTGAAAACGCCTTAGATGTGTTCAGCTCGACGATACGGATCGACTGATATGCAACATGACCCTTTCCGGTCAGGTCATGACCTTGACCTGAGGTCAAATTTTCAAGTTGACCTTCTAAGGTCCAGTTATAGTTCATTCGATGCGTCTTGACGAGAGGAACACGATGCCGGTAAAAGTAAGCTCGTACAAGGCTTGGGTCAAAAGTTATTGCAGAAAAACTGTTTCCGAAAAAATCGGCTATTTTTGCAGTTTTTGTCCCCTGCAGGCAAAACCGTTGACGTTAGTCAAATCTGAGAGAAATAATCAGAAAGAACACTAATATGGCTATCAAATGCGCTTTTCCGCGGTGCTGTAGCTGTATTGGTTCCCGAGTTATGCGTTGGCTTCCTGGAAATTGTCGACATTCGACCTGGAAATCGGCGAAATTTTGCCTTCAATGACCTCTGGTGACCTGACCTTTGACCTGACCAAAAAAGTGACCGAAGTGATTTCGTCATTATTTTTGGCGCTCTTTCGAACGCCGCCTTCCGCGTATCGCTACGTGGCCCAGGAGCCGAGCTAGAAGGGGGGTGTTCAAACACCCCCTCCCAGCAGGGCGTGGAAATCCACGACCCCCAGCCGGGCGCGGGTTAAACCATTATTAGGCCTCTAATCCATGCTTCAAACATTGCGTATGTCGAAATGGTTAGCAGCCCATACCTAGGTAGATACCCAGTAAACATGCCGACGTCGGCCCGACGTCGGGCCGAGGCTCGGCCCGACGTCGGCCCAACGTCGGTTCAACCTCAGCCCGACATCGGCTGGACGTCGGATATGCCCACATGTTCCGACGTCCAGCCGAAGTCCAGCCGACGTCGAGCCGACGTCGGGCCGAGATCGTCTGCCGAGGTTGACGAGATCGTTTGTCGTTGGACCGACGGGGCCGACGTCGGCATGTTTATTGGGACAACGCGCCAAAAATATCAACCGGCGGCGGGATTCAAGCCCCCAGTCGCCCACGTCGGCATGTTTACTGGGACAACACGCCAAAAGCATCAGCCGGCGATGAGATTCAAACCCCGTGTCATTTGAACGCCAGGTTAGTGCGCTAACCACTACACCACGCAGCCAGCTAACGATCAGTTTGTTTTGTTGGGTTATGCCCTTTCGGTCTGACAAGACCATTTCAGAGCCGGAAGGATCATAGGATGGAGACATTGGTTTTCTTGGCGAGCACCCTGGGTCCAGTTCATATAGAGTCTCTGGTCCCATTGCTGTTACGTGACACTTATTGGGAAGGGCGACCCCACAATGGATTCATATAGCCACTCTTACACACCTGCACCAACGTTTCCCAAAGTGTCCCTTGGCACTTTGGCAAAGTGACACTTGCCGACTGGCCTTTCTATATGAACTGGGCCCGGCCCTGGTGAGTTGCCGGGGCTGAGCCTGACCAAAGGATAGGCCGAGCAGCCCCCAAGCACTCACCGCACCCGGCTACGGGCGAGCTCGGCTTACGGGCAATTCCAAATGGGATAAAGTTTCCCGTCCAGTCCGGATCAGGGGGTTGCGGCGTGGAGGAAGATTTGAGTTTCCTGAGGATATTTTGAATACAGAAGTTCTTTATGAAACATGAAACATGTATTTTATATTATTTTAACGGTCAAAACAGCGGTCGATGTCGGTCCGACGTCGCACCGACGTCGGCCCGACGTCGGCTGGACCTCAGATTTTGATCTCGGTCCGACGTCGGCCCGACGTCGGCTGGACCTCGGCTGGACGTCGGAACATGCGGGCATATCCGACATCCAGCCGACGTCGTGCCGAGGTTGGACCGACGTCGGGCCGACGTCGGCATGCCGATGTCGAGTTGCCGACGTCACCCCGACGTCTGCCGACGTCGGCATGTTTACTGGGTATAGGTAGGAACTAGGAAGATAGAGTGGACAGAGGGAAAGCACTTAGCACTATGATGATTTGCATACTCATATAGACGCTGGTATAAAACGTAGATACGTAAACGTATTGATTCTACCTATTTATTGATTTCGTCACGAACAATCCACACTTATCCGCGAACGCGTATTCCAGCAAATAACAAAGGCGACCCCTGCATTGCCAGACAAAAAAGTCTGCGCACCTCCAGCCACGCGCCTTCTGTGACGACCTTAGGTGCACACTGTGCATTGCACATGCAGCGCATCTGCATACTTAAACTGGAATATCGAGATTTGCCTGAGAAACTGTCTCTAAGCTCCATTAGTCAGCGAATGCTCCTAAATTTGTCCTCCTGTGACTCAGTAGATCACCCCAGAACAAACCACAGGTCTTGGGCTCAGGGCTTCTCAAAATAACAATGGGAAGAAGTTACAGAAATAGGTGTACTGTGCGACAAGAATGTAGTTTTTTTAATGTCAGCGATTACGGATTAGCCACCGGTACCTTGTTTTGGATTGCTTTTCTTCTGGGCATAATGCAGTGCCAGTGCACGATAGCGTCAAAAGAAGGTGTTTTGATTCGGACCGATTGACATGTCAGGAAGAGATGAAAACATAAATTTTGCGCTAAGGCAAAGGTGGTTTTTGTTGGCGTTATTTGCATAATGGCGGCTTAGCTATAAACGTTCCTCTGGATGCAAGGATCAAGTTGTGTTGTTTTCGGAACCATGGCGACTGGTTTTGGGCTATTTTCTCGCGATTTGGTCCGCATTAGCCGTTTTCGCGACGGGTCAATGCACCGAAATTGACCAAATCTGCACCTAAACTCTTTTACAGCAAATATCTGTATTTTTTTAATTTCTTTCAGTGTTTTAATTGATGATATCTCTGATAATATGACAAAGGAGGCATATAAGCAATCATTGCAACCCTAGCTGATAGCTTCTAAGAGATAGGTACACTGAACCTAATTCGACCAACTCTGCACCTAATCTGCACCAAATGTTCACCAAATGCGTACCAGATGGCCGTCGTGAAAACGGCTATTGTGAAGCCTCAGTCAGGCCTCAGCGATGTTTTCCTGTGTTATCGTTTTTTGCACGTCTCCGTTCTTTTCCCGCATGGCGTAATTGCGTTTCATATCATCATACTGCGTTTATTTTACGTTTCCAGAGATTGTTGACGGGCTTCATTTCCAGACCCTAAAACTCAACTAGCGTAACAAACTCATCATAAAGTCACCACTACAGGTGCATAAGTGCAAGCTTCGTCCTGGAAAAGGTAGATATACCTATTTGTATCTAAGTGAAACCAAATATTGTAATAATCATCGTTATTTAGTATCAAATGGTTATTTATTAGGAATATAATTCTGTATTACTTCATCTTATACAATATGGCGCGAGACCTTATGTATGTTTGAACGCGTCATTAGGTATATGTAGGTACTAGGTAGCATGTATCAGTAATGCAATTTGATCGACACAGCGGAAGTCAATGTCAGTGATGTTCCCTAAAGTCAAAATGAATTATGAGCCCTTCTCCATTCCAATCAAGTCGTTTCCAGTTTTCAAGAAATAACTAGGTACTTCTATTCTTATCGGTAATCAGGTTAAACTGGAACCTGCTTATAATCTACCACAATCATTCGGCCATCAGAGTGGTGACTCTCCTATGTCATGCATTTGTCATCACTCTTAAATCACAAGGCCAGCTGTTGGAGCAGCAGGCCAGCTCCATGGAAGTCGGTTGCATCGGCCTTGAATTGGCATTATCGACGAGATGAATGATTGAAAACCCTTCAAGCATTTATGAATTATATTCTGACATAAAAACAAATCCTTAGATTTGTGCTAAAGCTGTCAGTTGATGCCCGAATATATATTGTTTCTTGAAAATGCATTATTTTCTGAACGTTAGCAAATTGCCACACCATACCAGTCAGTGTTTTGTAGAATAATTATTACCTAAACATACCTTATCACCGTAAATGTTACAGCCAATTAGGAGACAGTGTTTCGGATGATGTCCACTAACGGTAAATGTGAATTTGGTCGCTAATATTTGTTTACTTCTTTCGATGCATCATTCACTTTAGTCGATGGCATGTAGAATGGTATGTGGAGTGTAGTACGCATTGATGCTGATTGAAAGTATAGGACTTGACTGACGGCCTTGTTGGCTGGCATTATTTGTAAGGGAGACTTTGGACTGCGTGCCCTGTTGCCTGTTTCTCATTCCTTCATGACTCGATGACTTTTTAAGACATTGATTTTACCATAAGATTGACAGGCTTAAATGTATGTATAAAATACCTAAAATACAGGTAAATGCATTTTAAAAGACATCCATTGAGTTATCGTCTGTATTACACTTGTTCAAATAACTGATACGTTTATGCATCTCCACCACTCAACATAATTGAGCATTTCTGAAAACATACGGTCTAGGTTTGGACATACTTCTAATTTTCAACAGGCCCCGTGTTTCAAAATCGCTGTCCCCTGATGGTAAAGTGCAGCACGTTTGCCCCGCTCAATATCTGTGGTATCCGCCGTACCCCTTTGCGTGTCCGCCGCCGCCGCCGCCGCAGTATCCGCCGCCGCGTTTCTGCGTGACCACGCGCTCCTGGTTCTGCACCTGGTCCACAATCCGCGTGTTGTACACCTCACGCTGCACGGGCACCGTCACGATCTGGGTGTTGTAGGTGTCGGCGCCACGCACCGTGCTGGCCACCTGCACCACCTCTGTGCGGTACACCACGCGCGGCTGCGACGGCACGCGCACCGTGCTGTACACTTGTTTCACCTCGGTGCGCACCACCCGCTGCGTGTCGGTGACGTAGTCGGTGACGAAGCGCGTGTTGACCACGTTCTGGACGATGGTGCTGCGGACAGGCACCAGCTGAGTGGTGACCGAGGTGCGTGTCACAGTGTTGGCGACGTTCTTGGTGTTGGTGACGTACTGCGGCACCACGCGCGTCCGGTAGACGATCGAAGTGACGGGTACCACGTTGACACTGGTCACGGTGACGTAGGTGTCCGGCTGGCGGACCGGCTGAGACACCACCTCCGTCTGTGAACAGGAGGCAATAGCCATTAGTGATAACAATCAACGGGACTTGGAAAGCCTACAGTGAGATGTTCTCTTTGACTACGATTGAGGACAAAGCTGCTTTGCCAGCTTTACGCTCTAGATAATTTAATGCTTCACCTTTTTGCCTCACAATATTCATGGTTTCACACAGATCTCTTCAAATAAACTTACCCTGTATTGGATACTGGTCTTGACGATGGTCTCCGCTGGAACCTGGTAGTAGCTGGTGATCTCGCGGGTGTTGTAGACCGTGCGCAGCTGGGTCTGGGCAGGTCCGGGCACCGGCACCACTTGGGTGCTAACCTGCAGCCGCGGCACCTGCACCACCGTCGGCACCTGAACCTGCGTGTTGACGACGCTGACGCTGGTGCGCACATCCTGGCGCGTCACGTACTGGGTCTGCGTGTTGTACTCGGTGCCGAGCTCGGTGCGGTACACGGTCTGGGTCACCTCGTTGACCTGGTCCGGAAGGCGCACCGTGGAGACCACCTGCTGGGTGTCAACGTTGGTCTCCGTCCGGGTCAGGTACTCCACACGCGTGCCGATGTCGGTGCTCACCACCGTGCTGGTGACGAACGAGGGCACCAGCGTGGTCTGAGTCACCACCTGGGTGTTGACCTGCGGCACCTGGACGGTGCGGACGATCTGCTGGATGGAGGTGCTCACCCGCGGCACCGTGACCACACGGTCCTGCGGACAGTTGGCGTTGCCGCCGCTGACGAACGTGTTTCCCACGTTGCGGTCATTGCTTCCGCCGCAGCCGGCACCGGTGGCGGGGTTGCAGCCGCCGTCGTTGCTGCTGAAGAGGTTCAGCAGCCCGCTGGAACTGGAGCCCCGGTTGTTGTTGTAGTACTGCGGCGTGGCCACAGACACAGCCAACAAGGCAGCAGACAGGAAGATGGCCCGCATCCTGAAAAGGTCAGGCCGTCATCACAAGAGGAAGGAGAAGTAACACTTTGAGTGTGCATATTTAACACAATGTTGAATGAACTTCACGTCATTTGCATGACGTGACTAGACATTTACAAGTAAGGACGAGAAAACGCAATAAAAAAGAGCAGTTTGCTGATTCCCTCAGAGTTACTTACCGTATTGGTGGTGTTTTTCAAGCAAAAGTTGATCAATCACCAGCAGCTAAATAGATGTAATGTCGTTACCAATGTATACGTTTATTAACACATTGAGCATTCGCATGCACCATCGACTTGAACAATGATTACGGTCCCCATGTTTTGCTAGCGCCTAAATTCATGTTCGGATTGCGACTCAATACTCGCAATAGACGCGCTGAATTTGGCACGTCCAAGCGCACAGTAATTTGAAAGGTTACCTGATTATGTCTGTTTTCAGCCCCCAAACTAGGCACGGCAGCCGGTGCAATTCATTGCCAGACTCATAAAATCGATGATACTCTAATATCTGCGCCCGTATGACCTCCCGTATCCGCCATATCCACCATGGCTCCTGCCGTAGCCTCCGCCGCCACGGCTCTTGCAAGGCAGGTCGATGAACTTGGTGCGCACGACGACGTTGGGAATCACCCTGGTGGAAAGCACCTCTCGGTTGACGATCTGTTCCACGGTCTGCGTGCGTACCACCGGGATCACATTGCCGGGCTGGGTGACGACGTTCACGTCGGTCCTGTACACGACGCTGACGACCTCCCTGGCCGGCTCTGTGACGGTCACGAAGTTGGTGTTGACGCGGATATCTGTGTTGGTCACCTGGATCTGCTGTGTCTTCACAATGCGCGAATCAACATACTGGGTGTTGACCACTTGTACAGGCACCACCTGCTGCGAAGTGTAGGTCTTGTAGAGAGTGCGCTCAAACTGGCGGGCAGAGGTAACCTCGACGGTGTTGACCTGAGGCACCACGACCTCCGACTCGACGGGAATCACCCGCTGCGACTGCTGAATCACTGTCGAGGTGCGCACGGCACCGGGCACTTGCACCGGCACCGTCCTGAAGCGCACCTCCTCCTGCACGAACGTGGACACCACTGGCGCAGACGGCTGCGAGACCACGCGCGTTTTCAGCACCTCCTCGGTCCTCGTGACGACCACGTTGGGTCCGGGCACGGGGCGCCGCTCGGTGAAGACGCTGACCTGCGGCACGATCTGCGTGCTGGTGACGAAGATGGTTCTCGTCTGGGTGCGGAACTGGACCGATGTGCGCAGCTGGGTGGTCTCCAGAGTGGTGGTAAGCTGCCGAATGACGGTGCTGCGAACCACCTGCTCGCTAGTGCGCACCACCTGGCGCACGGCGCCCGGAACCTGCACCGTGCGCGTCACGTAGCGCACCACGTTGCTGGTCCGCACCACCTCCTGGGGTACCACCACGGTGCTGCGGAAGACCGAGGTGCGCACGATCACCGAGGGCACCACTTGCGAGGAGATAACCGTACTCGTGACGTACTCCGCCACTGGCTGGGAGACCACGCGGGTCTGGGTGTCAACCACCAGCCGGTCGGAATACGACGTGATGGTCTTGGCAGGCGGGCAGTAGCGGTTGTTGTTCTCTCCGCCGTCGGGATTCGGAGGAAGGTAGTTGCCATCGAGCTGCTGCAGCTGCGCGCGCGCAGCGGTCACCAGCAAACAGAGACAGAGGGCGGCCAGCATCCTGCCGGAGAGAGGGCCACACCAGTGAGAGGTGATTGGACTGGGAGGCGCGGGCGGCGGCGGGGGCGATCTAAGTCCAATCACTTCTGCACCGGCGTGAACCCTCCCCCGGCTGGCGGGCTGGCCCTCCGGCTGATTGCCGCTGGCCGACCCTGGGCAGCAAGGACTGGACTTACGATCGCCCCCGGCCGGGGCCGCCCGCGCGACACACTGACGCTCGATACCCAGACAGATGCGGCGGGTGTGTCTTCAGTCTCACGTGAGCTGAAGAGTGCGTGTTCTTTAACTTGGGTTCACAGCTGCAAGGTTTCGAAACCGAAGACTCGAACTAGCTGGTTGCGAAACTTTTGCTGCTTGTAGGAGAAGCCCCTTTGAATAAGGCGATAATTATTTCTTCTTATTCTTTACGCCCCAAAAGAATTAATCCAAATATGGCTAAAAAAAACATTTGTATTTACTACCCAGATGCAATGAAGCCTATTACTTGATGGGGTTTTACAGTTCATGACCAAAGACACATCCTTGATCAGACCCAGAAAAAGCCAAACGTGCGCATCAATCGCGGGACATCGTCGACGCATTCATTTATCATGTCTCGCCGGCCACCAGTAAGCCTTGACCAGACTTCGGTATGTCCCAGCATTGAATCTATTTTTGTCCCGTCACCCCTTCGCAGCTTGACGAACGTCAGGCATTGTAGCTGCACCATTAGAACGACGCATCGATTCATTCACATCAAAACCTCTCCAAACCTCTCGAACTGACGCAAATCGACGTCTGGCAGCCATCGTTACCTATGATTGCCTATGAATCACGCACGCAGTCGGCGGGAGGCGTTTTTGCGTCGTGTCTCCGCTGGACGTAATCCATGCCGCACAGACGATAGACAGCGAACCGGTCGGGACAAGGCCGGCCGGCCTGTCTGCCGCGGCCCCCAGCCGCAGCCCGAGGGCCTTGCCAAGAGCGCTCTCCTTGGCGGAGGGATGATCTCCTGACTCCTGCCATTTTTGGCGTGATTTGCGTTGATATGTAAATTTGCGTTGCGACATGAAATATCGATATCATGTCTAAGATGCGTTATGTGCTTACCATTAGCTGTTAGTTGACTTTCTATTTTTGAATTGCACTTGAACCGAAACGTTTTCTCTGCTCATGAACCCGAACTCAATGAAGTTGAGAGCTCCATGAAATTAGTTTTACATGTCTTGCTTGGTAAGATAAGAGAAGGGAAAACAGTACCTACGGCGAGACCAATGAAAAGCTTTGTTACTGCTTGTCTTTAATTTACGAAATTGCTATTTCATGCATAATCTAAGGTTCTTGCGCTAAAAGGGAAATAATGAGGGCAAAATTATAATTTTTTAACCAATGATGATTCACCATTCAACCTAGAGAAGTAGGTACGTTAACTTTTTGGCCAGCAAGTTTTGTTGTTAGTATAGTATATCCCGCGAGTTGCTGGGGGGGGGGCGTTAAACGCCCCCACTTTTTTCGCCGGGCCGTAGCATAAAAACGGCGCGCCGCAGGCGCGCCATATTTTGGGTACCTGTAGGGAATTGATTGAAGTTTATTGTGACAAAGTTTCAAAAAAATCAGTCGGAAAATTTTTGAGATATCGAGGTTTTAGTGACGTCATGATTTCTGAGTTTTCGACCAAAAACGGCATATGTTCAAAAAATCATATAAAATCACAGAATAGACATACAGACATGCCGTAAACGCCATTAGACTGCCAATACCATGATCAATCAAATGGCTATCTTCGATTATTGATTATCGTTCCGCATTTTCCAAAATCTTGAACTGAATCTTGGCAATTTTTCGTGACTACTTCACGACCATGATACATGAATTTCTTAAATTGAACTTTTTGAGCCAAACACGTACACATATGATAAAATGAATGTCACCATCGTGTTCTACGCCCCAAATTACCTATAAAACATGTGTCACAGGCTGCGAATATCAGTTTTGATTTTCGGGGATATGTGCCTACCCGGTTGACCTGACCTTGACCCTGACCTATGCTTGACTGACCCCTATATGGAGCTGACACTCTTGTAGGCCTTATAGGGTGGATTGTGCACCGTTTTGACAGAGTTTATGGCGAGAGGCGCCCATTGCGAAGTCCTGAAGTCCATGCTACTGAAAGCCCGATTTCAGGTGTTTGACCTGACCTTGACCCGACCTGTGACCTCAAAATTCAACTTTAAAGTACTCATCTGAAGCGTCTCGTCGCGCTCTTTCGTTTGCCGCCTCGTGCGTTTCGCTGCGCCTATTGGTTCTCGAGTTATCGGCTGGGGGCGTTTAACGCCCCCCCCCCCCAGCAAACGGTGGGTGGCGAAATACCCCAGCAACTGCCGGGATATGATAGTATATGATAGATAGAGTTTGTTGGTTAAAAAGTTGTTACAAGATAATTGTGGCTATACCTAAGGTCGCCGCTAGTGCGACCGATGTTGCATGTTTGGCCAGGTGACGCTCGACACTAAATTTAGTGTTGAGTTATTTGCACTTGTCAAAACAAGGGACGTAGCAAGATGGGTGGTAAACTCTTATTTGACTTATTTATTTTATTTTATTATTTATGACTTATTTGGAAGTCAAACATTACATCCATTGGCCATGTATCTTTTAGGAGGGGAGATATTTCGTCCAATAAAATTTTGCTTTTGTGATAAAGAAAATGATCGACACAAAAAATTCGTTCATGCTACGGTTCAATAATTTGAATACCTAAAGGACAAGTTCGCTTCAATTAAAGCCTTTTATTTTTAACAGGTGTGACAGCGGCAAATTTAAACAAACGATTGTATCCGCTATTACTACTTTGGGAACAAAACATTGTGAAAAGATATAAATGGGGTATGTCACACATGGAAAAGCACAGGGATGAAACGCGTCGTGAAGCGCGTTGCACGCTGCCATGTGAGGATAGATTGTGCCGTACTGGGGTTTCTCCTCTCTTTTCCTTAACAAATTGGAATACTGTATCTCATACTTGTAAGTATATACTCGTATTTGCGGGCTAGGTGTAACTACTTTCGGCACAGTTTGGGTATGAATTTCGAATCTACTATCAGTTATTGCAATAAGTTCATGATAGTGTCAATGATTGCTGTCTTTGCTTAGCAAGTCAATTTATTTTGCATTTTTAAAAGCCAGCGTGATTGTGTTGTAGGACTGAAGATATTTCGAAAGTGAACCTTTAAAGCTAGCTGCCGCAACAATAGCCAAGGACCCTCACATTCTTGACATTACATATCACAACATAGCCGTGTCTCTGCTACCTGCTAAACCACTAAATCACTTCGCATTATAAACATTAGCATAATGAAGAAGTGCTTCATTCTTTTCATTTGTTTTGTAGATATGCAAAGCAATGAACGAAATTGCCATCATTTCCCATCACCATGGGAGGTAAGTTTTTCCAGGAGTACGGTCTCAAGAGGCAAGTCACTTTTTCTCTGAGCACTCGACGACTGACTGGTGTCACTCACCTGATGGCGCAGAGGAGATGCTGCAGTGCTGCTCACTCGGCGGCAGCGAGTGATGTCGGTGAACCGTCCCACCTGGCCTTTATAGGTGGCCGGCGCCGGCTGACCCGACCCCCGAGGCGGTGCGCCCCTCCGCCAGCAGTCAGATTGGCTCCTCCCCGCGGCTCATCACGGCCAGCTCTTCAGGCGGGCACATCCCCCGCGCAGACGAGTCATTAATGCAATCGCGATCGACGGCCGGTGCCGCGGTCGGCGTCGCGACCAGTCAGCCGCGGGGAGGCCGACTGGACGGGGCGGCTCCCACCGGCCAGCCCACTGCGTGCCGCAAGGGTCCCGTCGGCGCACGGGCCGACTGTCTGTCCTCCTACCGATCTGGAAAGGAAGTTTGTGCAAGTGATGAACAGAAGAACAGTGCGATAATCTAACGGCTGCAGTGAGAGGTGTTGCATATCTGTAAAAAGTTTTTACTCAGAAAAGTGAGAAAAGGATAAAATAGCAGGCGGTGTCATATAGCTTATATTTAAAATTGAGAGCCTGTATCAGCAGATGCTTTATGTCGTTATATCATCTCACGTTTGCTTCGTTAATTAGCCCATATTTACCGTTAGACATAAGCTGTTCAGTGTTCATGATGGTGTGCACAATGCATACAGCTAGTCCTTACAGCTAGTGTATAGCTAGTCCCTAACTACATTTAACATGTGTGTATGTTTACATGGCACATCAGCTGCCAGAGCAGGGATTCTCCTCTTTCCGGCATTATGACAAGCCTATCGTGCTTGCCACATATGCTTGGAGCAGCTTATCGTCATTTTCTAGCTGGAGAGAGAACTACAAATGTAAGCCTCAGATCATCTTCAGGCAAGCGGACAATGCCCTCGCCGAACTAACATACCTATTGCTTGTTTCTAAATAACAACTCAAAGTGAGAAAATCTGAAAAGAACACGAGCATGTTAAAAAAGAACCATCATAGATCATGAATCAAATTAAATTTTACGATTTTTTTTTTAGGCATCGCATATGCCTTCCGAAAAGCAAGCAGCTATAACAATGGTCATGCCTATCATATTGTGGTATCTGCTTGTTTTTCTTTTAAAAAGTATGATCAAAAGCTTGTTTTCATAGCCCCGGTCAGAAGACACATTAGGTATATCAGTTCTTCTGATGTGCGTTGTTGTGCTGATGTGTATGTGTGTCACCATCGGTATAAAATAAACCATTATTGTTAGTTATTATGAGTTCATTTACGTGCATTTTATAATTTTCATTTAAGACGTTGTTTCATTGGTAATGCATAATAAACTCTTCTATTGAAGCTAGCGAGGTTAAACCGCGCCCCGCTGGAGGGGGGAGGGGGAGGGGGGCAGAATCTGCCCCTCCCATTTTTTGCCAAAAACTTGTAAACGCGTTACGCCAGCGACGTCGAACTTTTAGTTCCTTATCATACATCAATTTAACATGTTTCCTAAAATTTGAGTGAAATCCGTCGGAAAATGTTTGAGAAAATGACGTTTGAGTGACGTCATGTCACGCCAATTTCGCTTCAAAAACTGCTAAACTTCAAACGCCGCTAACATCTTCATTTTTAAAGCAATCAAGATGAAACAAAAAGCTTAGGTATAACTGATTCTACTCTGTCTATCAAATGATGATCTCGGTTTTTTTAAACTCTTCGATTTTGGCCCTTTTTTTCTAAAAAACTGACTTTTTGGAAAAATCATTTTAAAATTAACATTTTGAGTTTATCGAGAAAAAAAAACGGCATAAATGTTAGAGAAGTAGTCTATGCGCATTGCGCACCTACATACCAATTTATAGACAAATCAGTTCAAAAATGTGGGAGTTATTCAAACTTTTATGACGTCACGACACCCAAAATTTTCGAAGAATGAATTGTTTGGAAGTTCTAGACCTTGTACGGAAACAATAACAGCACCATTCGATTCGCCGCGAAAAATTGCATCAGATAGACACCTGTTTACGCCTTAACAATGAACTTTGTGCCCATTGAATTATATGAATAAAATGACTAATAAAACATGTGTCACAACTCACACGTGCCCTTTCCTATATTTCGTTTTTGGTGGTGACCTGACCTGACCTGATCTGACCTTGACCTTGACCTTTGCATGACACTGTATGCAACGAATCTTGTCTTGGTAGCTTACAAACACGTTTTGGACAATCAGTCTCAGTCCGTTCTTCGGCAACTACGGTGCAAGGCCGATACTGTAGAAACTTGCATTTTGTACCCTTGACCTGACCTTGACCTGACTTCTTACCTACTTTAGCAAAAAAAGAGCTCTTAAGATCCATCTCGTTGAGAGCTTTCGATTGCCGTTTTTCCCGTCTTTCTACGACCATTGGTTCGGAAGTTAGATAGGGGGTCAGAATCTGCCTCCCCCAGGGCGCGTATGGCTGAATAGCCCAGCAGGGGGCGGGTTAAATGTGTAGGCATTATCTTCTATGTAGAATCTTCTATTTTAACTCAAGTGTTACGGAAGACCCCGACAGGCTTCCTGCTTGTTTTGGTATACCTGTATTACTTTGACAATTCATCTTCTTTCATTGAAGATGCTCCTCCTTACATTGGAAAGCAATTTTTGTAAAAAAAAAAAATGCTAAGTATAGGATTGGCTCCTATGGCACCTAAAAGCACAAAATTTGGTAGGTAGGTAGCCCCTCCCCGGAATCCTCGCCATTGAGCAAATTTGGTGACTCTAGGTCAATATTTAGGGGCTTTGGGGGGTAAAAATGTAAAAAATGCCGTGACGGCTCAACAGTTATTTGCTTACTTCTTACTGATTAGGTCAGCGAAAAAAATAATAACACCACCGTGTTCAGCACGTCAAGGCGCGTCGATATACCGATTTTTCTGACCTGGTGACCTGAACCAAGGTCGCTCTAACCTAAAATTTTCAGGTCATATGTAAAAGGCTGCCTCATAGGCCGCGCCGGCGTTTTTACGCTATTTTTGACAAACCTCAGGGGGAGGATCGCATCGAGCCCCCCCCCCCCCGTCCCAGCCAGGGCGAGGGCTAAATGCCTATCGTCTATGTGATTTTATTTACGCAGTCCCTGAATATAATGCGTGAAGACAAATATTGCACAGGAAGCGCTTGCCCCGATGAACAATGGACAGGTTTTCGATTTCGTCCTGCTGACATTGAACTGGGACCAGCTCCACGGATTAGTATTATTATCAGAGCTGCGGTCTAATGGTAATGACGTCCTGTTTCGGGGAAAATCTCTCAGTTCCTGTTCTTACAACATACGTGACCATGGTATTCATTCGCACCATTGGTCCTCGAAAGGCAGGTATGCGCATCTCATGCTGGTTGTAAATTAATTACTTGAATGCTGACATTTATAATAACAAGGTTGACGCGTAACTTCATCGTATCTTTGTTATTTCGTCAAAGGCTGGGAAATCAGGTTACTTTCCACTTTCGCCAAAAGTTTTTTTCTGATAAAATTTCGTCAAAATATTTTCATTGCTGATGGGCAAAACGAGCTAAACAGAAAAGAAAAGAAAAAGAACGAAAAAAAGCAACGTAGCTCTAAAACGGCAAATTTGAAGAAAAGCAACGTAGCTCTAAAACGGTAAATTTGAAGAAAAGCAACGCAGCTCTAAAACGGCAAATCGGATAGAGAATAAGCATTATTTTTGCTATCCTGAACAATGCAGGACATCACAATTTTCATGGAGATGATGTGCCTCGGCTCTGTCGTTATTACATCAAAGAGATGGGAATATAAGAGGGCGAAACTCAACAAATCGCTAGATATGAAAATTAAATACTTTAGCTAAGGCTCATGAGTAATCAGGCCAACTATTGAACATCATTTCAGGCAACAATTTGCTGCATGTTCTCAGAATAAAGGGGTCATTTGCTCAAAAACAGAAATGCTGATGCTTCAACGGCCCCCTTGTGCAACAACCCAACTCAGAGACGATTGACCGAGGGGAACGCTGCAGTTTCGTTCACATCGGCCCACAGATGACATTCTGGGACTTCCACAATACCAACTGATCGGCGCATAGCCTACCTCGGGAAGCCGCTCCGATATGCAGTGCGCGGCACTCAGCATGGTAACTCCAGACTGGCAAACCCACCACTCCACAGCACATGCAGATCTGCCTATTTACAATGCACCTGTCTGAGCCGTACTCCGGTCTAATGGATCGTCTCCGCTCTCGGAGGGCCGGACAGATGGTCCGGGACATTTCCGCGCCACGGACTGTCCGCTGCCAACGTGCGACGTCATCCAGGGGTTTGGGTATGACCTCATGGCAATGTGACGTCATACACGGGGAGGGACAGGCATTTCTTTTGACATTTTGTCTGAGTAACTGAGTGATTCGATGAGCGCTCGGATGCCTTCACCCGAGAAGAGCCGCAAGAGCTCCAAGAAGAAAATAACAACAAAATGTCCAAAAAAGATGGAACGGGATAAACAGCAGTTTTTCCACCAATTAGAGATGATTGAAGCTTTCATTTTCACTATTCGATTTACTCTTCAGCAGAAGATTTGATCAGCACAAGCGCACTGCTAAGCCCTGATCTCCTCGGATGAAATGACGAATGTCTGAGAGGATTGCTCCTCGGCGGCCCAAACTTGGTCCCGGGCCCGCGCCGTAGCATCATGCGCCTCTCACGTTACATAACGGGTAATCGCTCGCCCATCCTAAAACCTATTTTATGTAGGGATTTCCTATAGCGGAAGGCTTAACACATAAGTAACTTTGATAAATGACCTTGATGGTGCTTAATATTTTAACATTCATTTGTGATATTTTCTAAGGAAGAAATTGCTTACACATCAACAAGAAAATCATAAAAGGTACTATATGTTGACTTGATACAAATAAATTCAGTACGGTGCATTTTACAACTTGTTACAGGCTACAAAAGTGTGAAAACGAGCCGCCGAAACCCAACATAATGTAGCATTTAATTATCATTGGAGTAAACTGTCACAATTAGTGCCATGAGGTCCAGCCCCATAGGCCATAGCAATACGAAAGGCTCCATATGAATTCCCAGGCCCAGGAAAGCAATGCCGAAACAATTCATAAGTGTTTTTGCCTTGCCAAATCAGCGACCAATGTAAAAACAAAGTCGAAATGTTCAGTTTAAAATAACTGATAAGTGATAGACATCGGGATACAGAGTCATAGAGACACAGATGTCTCCGCATATTTCTTATTTACTTCAGTGTAGGTATACAGTTCGAAGGAAAAAAGAGAGAAAATAATTAATTTGCTTTTTGTCAAATATTTCAAGTCCGATTTACAACTCACGCCTATCAGCAATCAGCATCAAATAACAACTTGTGTTTTCTGTACTGCAATGGCATTTGCGGCTG